TCTCTCTCTCTCTCTCTCTCTCTCTCTCTCTCTCTCTCTCTCTCTCTCTCTCTCTCTCTCTCTCTCTCTCTCTCTCTCTCTCTCTCTGATGCATGCTCATCCGAAGATGAGCGGTGCACATGTCAAAGGAGCGCCAGTGTGATGAACAGGACTCAAACGAAAAGATATAATGCAATGTAGCGCAGCGGAAGACTTAAAGATATGACCTGACACATCAGATCCAGACTCGACTCACACAATCATCATCACACATGTCACACAACACTGAGGGGAATCATACACGGAAGAAAGATCCCTCCTTGCACACACACATGGGGAAGAAACCACGGATGATGAAGGGGGGAGGAGAGACAAAGATGGAGAGGGGAGAGAAGACGAGCAGAACTCGTAGTTGTCTAAGAAATAGTCTCCCAGTCAAATGCCCAACCAATGTCTGTCCTCAAAAATGTCAAATCAGATCATGGGCGCTCATAGGCCAGAAATAGTTACTGCCTGAAATCTCTCTCTCTCTCTCTCTCTCTCTCTCTCTCTCTCTCTAGGAGGAAGGAAAGAGGGAGGAGGAGGAGAGGAAGGAGAAGAATTAGAAGAAGGAGAGGAAGAAGAAGAACTCAATGCCACATACTGACTAGCGAAGGTGACGACTCCTGATGCAGGTGGCTGCTGATGGCTGGTCCCATGACCGGTATGAAGTCCCAGCTATGGCACCCAGGTAAGTCTCTCTCTCCCTCGTGGACATGGCATCCGCCAAACCTCTCCAATCCAGCCTACTCCTCTACTCCTCCAGCGCTGCTCTATCGCAGCTCTCCCCAAACTGGTGCTGCTCCAGCAGCGTGACACCCAAATGAGGCTCCAGCCCGAATGTGTCCTCAAAGTGGAGGACTGGCCCAGCTATATACCGCTAGGCCTGGCTGAGCAGTCCTCGGTCTGCAATCAGGACCGTTGGATCTGATGTCCGATCGATGGTCCTGATCGCAGGGCCAAGTCTTTGTCCTACGATCCTGGCCAAGAACGGCCTGCCTGGGTCCCTACTGGACGTCCAGGCAACCCTGCTGATGCAGCAGGGTCCTGAGGACTGGGCCAGGCACAAACAGACGAATGCCTGGTCCAGTCCCAGATAAGGACAAATCTGAACCTAGCCTACAATGGCCGAAACTGAAATCCACTGGTCCGAACAGGCATCTGCCTGTTCAGACAAAAGGAAAAGTCGGAATCTACACATCTGAAACAGACAAAAATAGTCCAGACAAAACCCAGCAAAAATGATAAATGCAATCAGACTCGTTCTCAAACACACTTTTCATGCATGTAAACAGCAACGCAGCATACTGGCGACATGCGCCCACTCAAAACTCAGAGATATGGCTTTCAGACACGAGTTCACTCTCAATTGGCTATGGCGACTTCAGCGCCCAAACATCTCACTGTTCACGTACACTGGATCACCCTGGATATCCCACACGCATCACTCTAACACTCGAACACACACACACACT